TGTCGTTTACTGGATTGAAGCAAAGAAATATATTTGATTCTGTTTACAGGCAACTTCGAGAAAACATGAAACAGAAGGGGAGTTCTGTTGCTGAACAATTAATTACAGTGAATCTGATGAATTGTGGAACAGGGGTGTTCAAAGCCACCAATGAAATCTTTCTCAAAAGGTGGTTTAAACACATAATAAATGACAATTCTGCAATGAAACTACAGGATTTGGCAGATAATATCATTCAGACATGCTCTCCGTTAGTTTTGGACAAGACTTCGGATTACCATGATGCTTACATCCAGGAGATCCTACACATAGCTGATAACAGATTGAAGTCCAACAAGAATATGGGGTTTTCAGTTGAATTTGAACTGTCCTTGAAATTATACATTTGTGGGTTTTCTGCAAGAGCATTTCAAGACATGCATGACCGTTTCATCAAGGAGAATGACCCACGTAGATGCCTTGATCAGTATAAAGACAAATATCGTGATGATTTCAAGGACCTGTTCCATGATCGCGATCAGTGTCAGAGAAAGGCTGAAGAATTCACCACACTGTGCTTGATTCCTGCAGTTGAGACATTCATCTACAGATCCCTGGGGCCAGACATCGTTGACAAAATGCTTCAGGGAAAAAATGCATTTCAATTCAGCACTCGTGCATTTTTCCAGTACTCACTCTTAAAGCAACTTGTGAATGAAGATAAGTTTGAACAGTATGTGAAATACATTAGCTCCTATGAAGGTTTTGTTAAGGGCTGGATATTAGATCAAATCACCAAACAGTTTTCGAATCACCATGAAATGTCTGAGTTGGAGGAGCGCCACCTTAGAGGAATCAGCAAGGAGATACTAGAAGCTGTCAAAATGGCACAGAATGAAACAAATGAAGATGGCATCAAAGGATTCATACATTGCATATGCAGGAAGCTTGGACAAAAGCTAATAATTCCCAAAGATGCTCTAGAAACAGTAATGGTCTTTAACAATGCTTCTCAAGAGCCATTTGCATGCTGGCTAACCAAATCTGTAGAGGAGATGGAACACACAATGATGGAACAACTGAAGAAAGTCGACATACAGGGTAAACTCTGCATGCTCAAAATGAAACCCCAGGATGAGCTCTTCAAGCGTGTGTTTGGATGTGGGCAACAGTGTCCATTCTGCAGTGCTCCTTGTGAGGCTGGTGGAGAAGCCCACACTGATCACTGTGCTTCAGTTCACAGACCTCAGGGACTTGGCAGATATAGACATGAAAACAATAAAAAATTAGTGACTGATATCTGCTCAACAGATGTCCACAGTGAAGTAAATTTTAAGTGTTTCCAGACTAACTATAATCCTCATCCTTACAAAAGATACAGAGAAATCTTTCCTGACTGGCACATCCCAGCTGATGCTAGCATACAGGCCTCAGATTACTGGAAATACGTGATGGCCCGGTTCAACACTATGTTTGCTGAAGAAAACAATGCTCGTCCTGCTGACATACCCTTAACCTGGAAATTCATCACAAAGCAGCAAGCAGAGAACAGTTTAAAAGAGTCTTTTAGCATCAAATAAACAATTATTTTCTATCACAACCGTAGATTCAGTGATTTGGCAGCACTCTCACATTGATTGAAAAATGCCATTGATTACTTCCAAATGGTTTCAGCTGTGTTCCAGTAACCAACAATAATACTTGCATATAGGAATTGGTAATGAATATGAGTTAATCAATGTGAAAGACAGTTTAACTACATGAAAGAAAAATGCCATATTGCAATGTGCAAAATACAGTACGATGGTGAAATGTTTTATAGGTTAGTTATCATTTTTTGCAAGTTTGTTATTTGGTGAAAATATGTTCTTATTTTCCTGTTTATATTTATATCATTCTTTTATATATTTGTCTTTATATTTATACATACAAAAATCTTCCTAAGAAACAACACATAGCCAAGTCAAATATGTGTGATAAAATGACACAAACAGAGGAGGTTGGCACTTTTGATTTCGTCTTCTGTCAGACGTTGTCATTTTCTCTCATTCGCTGCGTCTTTTGTTACAAGGTATGATTTAATACTTGACACTATACTGCAGGTAAACACAACATATCCAGCTTCCGTCTTTTATCGAATGCCCCTATGATTCATGTAAAACATAATCCAAGGACACAGATCACATTAGGACAGAGAGGGATGGGCTGGTAATGGAATAACAAAGGAGACTGACAAAAAGAATGGATGAAATCTGCACTCCGCCAATTTAGTGAAAGAAGAAAAGTTGGAAAATATCATAATTTCCCCTCCTGACATCAGATCAGCTTAGTCAATCACTGACGCCCCATTTCTTTACAAACAATGTGGAAAAACAAACAGCAAGTTATGAGTCACTGCCGACCGAATCTGTTGCTCACCGTAGAGTCTATAAACAGAGCTCCTCTAGTGTGTACACTTCTACAAAATTGATTGTGTCTATGAGAACAGCAACAGGATGCGCTGTCACTGCTCTAGGCAGCTGAACCGAGAGCATCTTAAGTTTAGGAGCTTGAAAAGGTGGACAGAGAGAGAAAACTGGATATGTATGAGAGCTAGTCCTCTCGTTTGGGGGCTCTACTATACACGGGTGGTGGAGTGAGGGTGGGGTAAGGTGTTGTTGTGGCCGGTGGTTGTAGGGTAAGTGTTGAAGGCATGGAGGGGTTGCATGCCGGTGATGGTGCTAGGAATCATGGTGATAGTATTAGGGGTCATTAGTGGAACATCGTCGGGCGCCCGTCTCAGTGCCAACGTGTAGTCGGGTGGGCATGTGGGGCGTAAAATGTCATGCGGTCGCAATGGCTCCATATCGTGGTGGGCGTCGTGCTCCGAGTGCTTCATTTGCAGGGACATGATCTCTTCCTCTTGGCTGTGTGCTAAGTCATTAGCAGGTACGCCTCGTTGCGGGGATAAGCGGTGCCGTAGCATCTCATGCTGTTTGTCGCGCTTGTAGTAAAGTGCAGCGAAGGCAAGGATGTTGAGGAAGAGGAGCGATGCGCCAACAGCTACCGTCACGCTCAGTTCCGTAGAGTAGTCCCGGGTGTCGCCTGGGAAGGGAGGAAATCGAGGAGGCTCTGAGCCATCTGGATCCAGTTCTGTAGGGAAGGTTGGGATGGGATGGCGTGTCGTACGGGGTCCCTGACCCTTCCAGATTGGGGTACGGGCGGTTCCTGGAGGCAGCCGGGTTGTGGCGGTGCTGAAGACCTCCTCGTGAAGATTGTGGAGGTGAGGAACCAGTTCCAGCCAGAAGGCAACCTTATTTGCTCGGTAGTTGTCCCGGATGCGAGGCTTCAGGCCAATGTGGAGATACTGCTTGTCTTTAGAGTTGAACTTGGTCCAGATTACTTCCTCAAAGCGGTTGGGCTTGGTGTGGATGAACTTGGTGTCCTGAGGAACAGGCAGGTTAGGATCCCTAGAGAAAACAGATATCTTGTGTCAAAATGGTATTTTAATGAATTCCACACCAAGATTGTGAGCCACTCAGAACTTGAGAAGACTTTTTAAATTGAGAAGCCTTTTTAAATTCTCGAAACAGGAAACAAATTTGAATTCAATACAGGATATAGAACTTCAATTTGAATTTGGGCCAGGTGATTATTGATATTTATTTGGGGACAAAAAAAAATCACAGCATCGATAATAAACTTTTGAGAAATTTTCAATATTTAGGCAACATCTAGACAATCTGGAACACTGAAACTCAAGGTCTTCTTGGCAAGCTGCCAAAATAAAGGTTTGGTTTACCCTGAATGTTTTGACAGAAATATTTTATTATTGTATAATAAAATGTACCTCTCAAAGTATTATTATATTCATATGATTTTACTGAATATTATACAACCAAGATATTTTTTCAACTATGTTTTAATTAATACTGCATACAAATTCTGTTGTGCAGCACCCTTATTTTAAAAATGTTGTTGTAAATTAATTGTTATATTTCCACTTGATTACAGTTTTGAAGGACTGATTGAATTGGTAAAGTTTTCTGAATTCATTTTATTAGACAACATTTTTTATGAAAAATATGTATTAATTTATAAAAAACTGAATCCAGAAAAATTAAACTTAAAACATAAAAAAATTTAACTTATTTGTTAACATTCATTTAAGGTCTAACAAACATGTGGAATTTCCTTCCCTATTAATTGTATGAAATTAATATCATGATATATATCAACACTGAATGATACGGAAAAAATGTCATGATAATATCTTTCGCCATATCATCCAGACCCAATTTTAATGTCAGGAAATAAAACGTTTTTAGAATTAATTTTAATGTAATTTCAAACAAATGTGTTATGCCTGTAATTTAGCTATTTAAAGAAAGAAAGAAGGAAAGAAAGAAAAATAATATTTTGCATATTCAGACCCACCCGGTCTTGGCAAAGTTGGTCCAGTATGTCATCACCACAGCGCTAAGCATTACATCATTTTTGGAAAAGTTGCAAGGGAAGAGGTCTGTCGCTCCAATCATGGGCACACCAAAAACATATGGTATCTCATCTCCGTGTGCAGCGTCTGCCCATTCGGGTCGAGTCTCTGTTTGGCAGTGGTGATAGAAGGTGTAGAAATAGACGGGAGACTGGTACTCTGCATGGAGCTTGGCAGTAGCGACGGCTGGCGCCACCCACTGGTGATCAGTGAATAGTGCAAGGAGAGTCTTGCGCCGCATTTCCCCATTGTCTCGGTCTGCCCAGTCTGTGTACATGAACTTAATAGTCTCCCTCAGGATGTCTTTACCTACAAAAAGATAAGAGAATAATTACAGTAAAGAAAGAGCAGACAAGAAAATGAGTGGGAGGAAAGTGACTGAGCATTTGAGCATGTATTTGAGTGTGTGTATGAATATGTTTGTCTAAAAAACGTAGAGAAAATTCGCCTACGAATGCATGCTATTTGTAAAAATAACAATATATATGATAGCTCATATCCATAGGACATTAAATACTAGATATAAAATCTCCACATCACTAGTCACATAAAATAGCATGCTGATGGATTTTGCTGGTCTTTTATCGCCCTCTGGCGGAAAAAGTTAACAACAGCACCTAATCAAGAGTAAGCAGATACCTAGTACCAATTTTATTGCTGTACTCAGCATTGCCCCTCGTTAAAAGTCAGAATGATGTTTACCCAACCAGACTTGAGTCTTCACTAGGCAAAATAAACATAACAACTACAAGGACTGCTCTGCATTAAACCTGTATTCAGAAGCTTTAATTTCACGATTGAATCTAAACATCCTAAACTCTGGCACAATTTAATATGAAATATGCTGATATAGAAACCTAAGTGTTTACTTCCTAATGATAATTGTAAAACAGGCAAGAAAAATAAGTCAAATAAAAAAAGGGGACTTAAGATCTTACCTTTAGGATATCCATAGAGGTTATCCACAAAGTTGGAGATGGTGTAGTCAAAAGCTGCAGCGGAAATCCCTTCTTCACTCTCAGTGCCCCCATCATCCACAAACTTCAGCCCCTCCCCTTGATTTACACCAATCAGAAGATCATAGTTCAAGAACTCCCCCTAGTGGAGAAAGAATTTAACATTCTCAGACAAACTTATTGCAAGTAACCAGCAGGTTAAAGCAGTCATTTGTTGATCTCTTACATATATGGCATTCTTCAACCTTTGTTGCCTAGAATTATTCTAAAGAAAGACTGAATTCATAAAAGGTGTTAACATCAGGGCAATTTTACGTTTTCATCTTTAAAAAATACCTTTTTCTGAGATCTGAAATTCCAGAGATTTTTAAATTAATACTAATTCCACCTGTAAACACCCAATTATTTTGGTCTTTTTATTAATATTTTTAATAAATGATAAGTGAAAATTTAAAGATTATAAATGTCATTCATAAAAAAGAAGAAGAAAAATAGTATAAATGTATAAATTATTTAAGAATTTACTGACCTTAATTGAAGAATCACACACATATCTGACATCGTTATATAACATGATAGCATATCATTGCATATCAAAAGTAAATGGTGTCATTTTCATGGAACATTCAGTCTGCATTTACAAAAGTAGGTATGATCAAGCTTTATTCAAAATCCTGTGCTTGAAGCCTCACTAAGATTTGGTTTAAAGGGTAGTTTGGATGGTTTACTGGACACAGTTTAAACCTAATCCTTGGCTTGGAAATGTTTGATAGACTACGTTGAATTTAAACGAACATAAGTCTTGGAAACCATCTTCACAAATGACAGTAATCAAAATCACCTGCTGCATCAGGATCTCGGGGTCATCTGGCACAACATCTCCGTCCACCACAGGTCCAAATGCAATATGGTAGCGGGCCGGCTGGATGTCCTGATCCACCAACTCTCTGAAATTTTTCTTGCGGAGACAGTCCACCAGGTCTGCGGTCTCCCCATATGTGCATCCCACTTTACGGGCCAGAATCTTAGTGTACTTCAAGGGCTGGTAGCTAATGGACCAGCTGGAGATGGCTGAACCACTCTGAGCAATGGCTCTCTGAAACAGGCCTGGGACGGGAGGGAGCAATAACAAGCTGTTAACTACACAGAAGGAAACCTGCATACATAATAACATAACATACCTGGTTTATACATATAAGGGTAGTTGACGCATAGCATGTCATGGATCTAATATATATATATTAGAAAGTGCCCTCTAACTGGTCACCATCAGTTTTTCATAAATTATCAATGGTTTGAAATGGTTTTCATCATTTCCAGTAGTCCTGAGGTGTGACAAATTAATTTTTAAGCACACATACCTCATAATAGTTTCAAAATAATATGAGGTCATAAAATCTTCATTTATATTAATTAGCAAAACGCTGTTTAAAACAATTTTAAAAGTCTTAAAAGAGTTTAGCATGTCACACTGCAGGACATTTTCAATTCTCAATTTTCCAGAAGTAGCCATTTAACTGTGATATGAAAGTATACTGTAGTATGGTTATTTAAATGTTATGTTATATATTTAGTATATCCGGGGCTTGTTAATTGGATGTTACTACTGCCAGTTCCAGTAGCGCTTAACACAGTGTCAGATGGAATTGCATCAATGAAAAAACTGAGAACAGAGGAAAATGAGGATTTGATTTGGCACAAACTCCATTTTTCAGTGATTATTGAGATAACATTGTACTAATTCCATCTTGCATTGAAATAATAACAGTAAATCTATTATTCTCTTGTATCCTTTTCATTTACAAACACTTTACAAACAAAGCAGAAACATATTACCGAAGGGCTCGTCTTTTCCTTGTTCTGCCCTCCTTCCTCTCTTTCTGTCTTTTTAATTATTGAAGAGCATGTTACCTTTCCCAGGGAAATCAATAAGGGGCTACTGTAGCTTTGTCTCTGCTAACACGCCTGTGCATTTCTCTTTACCTAGCTTGTCCAAACAATCACACAAACAGACATCAAGCGTAACGTTAGTTCTGGCAGGTCACATGAGTCAAGCTTGCATCAGCTGATGATCCACGTCTACCTATAGGAATACGACGCCTATCGCGGCATTCCTATCTAAGGTCTATTCAGTATTATTCAGCAGCTTTATCGCTTGCTCAGGAACAAATTACCCTCCCCCATCCCCAACTCCTCCTTTCATCACAGTCAGGACTTGGCTGTCTGATATTCCTCATTGAATCAGACTCCTTTTATCTTGAATAATGTTGTTACACTAAAATGTCATTAAGAACATTAATGATATCTGCATTTGTTTCTGTTCTGTTTACACAAAGGGGGTTATTGCTATATTGTTATTTATAATTTATTGTCTATTCTCTTTATTATTAGTGTTTTTATTACCTTAAATTATATGTATGTCTGCACTATGTTTGTACATTCTGTACTGGAAGCTCCTGACACCAAGATGAATTCCTTGTGTGTGTAAACACACTTGGCAATAAAACTCTTTCTGATTCCAAATCTGATTCTGATTTTGCTGCTCTCCCTGCTCATTCATGACAGGCTGCATGGATGGGCCGGGAGTTTTTGCCCAGAACAGAACTATAGTGCCAATCCAAACTGTATGTTAAGTGTCAATCATCTTTGATGATAGTGGTCCTGACAGAAATTTAGTTAAGCGGTGCTCAAAAACTCACTTTGTTTTTTTTCTTTTCTTTGCTCCACTTGAGTGAACATTATCCTCTTACGTAACCTTAAAGTGATAGTCCACCCAAAAATGAAAATTCATAACTTACTCACCCCGATGTTATTCCAAATATGTACTGTATGTATTTTTTTACCTAGACACCACAAGAAGATATTTTGCAGAATGATAACCAAACAGTTTTGATCCCCTTTGACTTCACTTTATTTTTTGTCCATACAATGGATGTCAGTGAGACCGAAAGTGTTCAGTAACTAACATTTTTCAGAATATGTTTTTTTGTGTTCCACAAAAGTCATACAGGTTTGGAACGACATGAGAGTGAGGAAATTATGACAGAATTTAAATTTTTAGTTGGACTATCCCTTTAACACTTACCTACAAACCTTTATTTGTTTATCTGTTCCTGTTTCCGTTGACTTGGGCTCTTTACAGGGAAATAACATGATTGGTTTCTCCAGTGTAACAACTCTGTCACGACTTACCTAGTGTGATTGACAGCTGAGGGCTGTAGGACTGATGTTAGGGGAGGATGACAGTGATGACGAAGATGGTGCGGGTAAAGGTGGACTTTTTTGACGAGCAATGCAACAAAACAGAGTTGGACAGGATGGTGAGACATTTTGTGAGGTAACACGCACGCACACAGCATTAATAATGAGATGGAAACCTGTGCAGGGATAGTATTAGTCTGTTAAAGCATTAACACATGGACAAACACATGCATTTGTCTTACCCTCAGAGTGGTGGGACAGGATGAGTAGGTTGACACAAGATGCTCCAGCCCCAGAGCCAAAGATAGTGATCCGTTCAGGGTCGCCACCGAAGTGTCCAATATTCTCATTCAGCCAACGCAAGGCCTGGATTTGATCCAACAGGCCATAGTTCCCTTTAGCAGACTGATCTCCTGTGCTAAGAAAACCTGCAGTAAAGAAGAGGAGAAATGGAAGAAAGGGGGAAAGGAAAAATACAGACAGATTTGTTAATGGAAAGCAGTATTATAATTGTTAGCTAAAACTATTATGAATTGTTTTTGGTCATTGAAATACAGCTGATATAAAATAAAATATAAATATTAGATGAAAATTAGAAATATTTCCTTGCTAATGACTGCTATAAGTTAAAGTACTAAAATACTAAAACTAAAACAAATAAATTATATAAATAATAAATGAGAAAAAAATTAACTAAAATGTAATGTAATTTTTTTAAATAATTGTTCAAATTTAAAAATACTATAGCATATAAAAATACTAAAATAAGAGAGAGAGAGCAGGATGGCTGAGACAGGGTGAGTGAGTGGATGCTCTAATTTGGAAAAACTGTTTAATCTGCCTCCAAGTCACCAGGAACTTTACTGATCAAAGTCTGACAGACGCGCACGCACACACAGACACAGACAGAGAGAGAGAGAGAGAGAGACAGACAGAAGCATATCTCTAGAGCACATGTAGAAACTGCCTAATACATGGCAGAGTCTGAAACTAATGGCCCTGCTGCACTGGTGCCTATAGTCAGTTAAACTTCTGGATGAAGGCGCCTTCTGATGAAACTGGTTTCAAACCATAATTTGATAATTTTTAAGGCACCATAATTGAACATTCAATGCCTTCAAATGTACCTCCTACTTCTTGGGCAGTTATTATTGAAATCATTCTAATATACTGATTTGTTGATCAAAAAACTTTTCTTATTTCTAAAAAAGCTGTCTATAATATTTTTGGGGAAACCATGATACATTTCTCTGTATTCTTGGATGAATAAAAAGTTCAAAAGAACAATTTTTTTTAAAATTGATTTTTCTTTTGCAACAATATAAAAATCTTTACTGTCATTTTTTATCCGCTACTGAATGGGTCCCTGCTGGTTAAAAATATATTTAAATTTTTTTTCTTAAAAACATATACAGTGGGGGAAAAAAAAGTATTTAGTCAGCCACCAATTGTGCAAGTTCTCCCACTTAAAAAGATGAGAGAGGCCTGTAATTTTCATCATAGGTATACCTCAACTATGAGAGACAAAATGAGAGCATATCTCTAGAGCACATGTAGAAACTGCCTAATACATGGCAGAGTCTGAAACTAATGGCCCTGCTGCACTGGTGCCTATAGTCAGTTAAACTTCTGGATGAAGGCGCCTTCTGATGAAACTGGTTTCAAACCATAATTTGATAATTTTTAAGGCACCATAATTGAACATTCAATGCCTTCAAATGTACCTCCTACTTCTTGGGCAGTTATTATTGAAATCATTCTAATATACTGATTTGTTGATCAAAAAACTTTTATTTCTAAAAAAGCTGTCTATAATATTTTTGGGGAAACCATGATACATTTCTCTGTATTCTTGGATGAATAAAAAGTTCAAAAGAACAATTTTTTTTTAAATTGATTTTTCTTTTGCAACAATATAAAAATCTTTACTGTCATTTTTTAACAATGTTGTCTCTCATAGTTGAGGTATACCTATGATGAAAATTACAGGCCTCTCTCATCTTTTTAAGTGGGAGAACTTGCACAATTGGTGGCTGACTAAATACTTTTTTGCCCCACTGTATATAAAAACATCTTACTAACCCCAAATCTTTAAACAGTAGTGTATAAACTAATTTACAGTTTTCAACCACTCTGTCAGACACTTTTCTCAAGTCTTATTATAGGCTAGAAAAAACTAAAAGAAGAAACAACAAGATGATGGTATCTTAGTAGACAGAATGTTACGCAAACATTGAATTCAGATGTGCCTTGATGCCTTCCTACATCCATAAACTGTCTGTGAAAGTGCAGCTTTCAGACGGCTGTATTCTCGCTGTATTCTCACTTCTCAAAAATACATGAGCACATACACTAAACTCTTCTTACTCTTCTCACCTACGACCTTTCTGCTGCATTTCTGTGAATATTGTAACACTACCTGAATTCATAAGTACTGTGTGATAGTCTGAGGTTGCTACGAGAGATAAGAGAGGTCAGATTATGGTTGTGGAACGACAGTTAACAATGTATATTTATCTGTCACGGAGTTCAGAGCTTGACAGTATGACAGCTGTGACTTGACATGATCCTCATTTGCTATGAATAAAATAACTTTGAACACACACACACACACTCACACACACAAATACAAACTGTATTTTCTATCCCCTTATTCTAAATTTACCCCTAAACCTACACCTCACACAAAATATTTAGCAGCATTTTTATTAATAGTTAGTAAGGTAGATGTTAAGTTTAAATATTGGGTAGGATGGAATTAGGATATGTGCAGGATATGTGCTTTATAAGTACTAATAAACAGCTAGTATGCATGCTAACAAGCAACTAGTTAATAGTGAGAATGGTCCCTATTCTAAAGTGTTACCAGATTTTCAAAAAACTTCATACATTTGGTAGGATTTATTAGCAGTTTTCCTAATGGGGATGAAAAAATTACTGGTATTACTATCCTTGTGGGGACATTTGGTCCCCATAACACCGTGAATACCAGGTACACACACACACTTCACCATGTTTTTCATTGTAGAGGGGCGTTACAAGTAGACGTTTATGTTTTCAGGACCGATTAAACGAAAGTGAATCTGTCAAACAGAATCTGTTCGCAACCATTAAATACATTTTGCCACACGTATAAATTCACTAATATGCTAAATTTGGGCAATTCATAGAAAACTGGTTTTACGTATGATTTACACAGAATTTCATTCTGCTTGTGTTTCATTAAAACATGTTCTTGAAATGTACACCTTGGAAACAATTCTTCATGTCGATTTTTATTGAAAGCATAAGAGGCAAATTCACTAAAAGTTGTGTTAGTTTAGCATGCGTATGATCATTGCTTGATTTGCATAACTCAAACAGCACAATGAAATAAATGGTGCTAACAGCGGCACACAATTCATTCTTAGAGAATTGCTCCCAAAGTGAACCATTATTATGACAATTTTAATCAATTCCAACCCCTCTATGCAATATTAGCATGCAGTCCACATCCACACACAGAATGCAGAGAGAGATATTTGGATTATTCCTCAAAGAGCATCAAAATAGACTGTGCAAAAACGTCACATCAAAGAGCGTCAGTAATGGAAATTAGATTATCTGTGGCTGTTTAGATTTATTACATCACCTTTAGTAGATCTCTCACAGCAGTCAAATGATTTGCTAGTACAATGCAACCTCTTGGTCAAACATGTCAGTTGGCCTCACAATTTCCTTGTGAACCTTAAAATAACAGTTAAATCGTTTTTTGGCCTGAGCTTTGTGAGCAGCCATTAAAACCACCATGGTCATTACTGAGATTTCACCCCCTAACATCTTCTGCTTTAGATTTATCTTCATTATCATTATTTCTATGCTCTGTCAGCCACATTATCCTGTTCAAACGTGTGGGTACGCCTCTGTAAAATTGTCTTTAAAAGAATCCTCAGCAGAAATTTGGACTGGAAAATAAGGTCCCACTTTTCTGATTAGCTTCTGTGGCTGTGTGTGTGTGTCTGTGTGTATATGTGCAGAATGCCTGTTGAACTGCATTGAAGACCTTAGGTGACATTTCCTATAATGGCGTTAAAAAGATCATTTGCATTTGCAATACAGCACAACCAATTATTTTATATCATCATAATATTAAATTATACCCATTCTGACATTTGACATTTTTGGATCATTTTCTAAATGCCTGGATTTGAACAGAACAAACAATGTCTGTATAAAGTGTGCAAGTATTTCAGCTCTGGAAACCAATGAATAGGAAACCAACAGATTGAACTGATGGGTCATTCCTACAGTAATGTACATTTTCAAGTTATCATCAGCTATATGTCTTAACATAGTGGATAAAACAGTAAACAATTTCTAAAGATGGAAATCACACTAGTTAAATTTCTCAGAATATCGCAACTAAGGGAGCATGGGGTGAATTTTAAATCATTATAGTACTTTGAGCAGATGTTGCTGTGTTTGCCATGTCCCCGGGTGCTACAATATGAAACTTCTGACATGGAAAAACAGGCAATATATAAAAAAATATTCCATGTGTTTCTTCATTTTTTCCCTTTCCCTAATGGTTTCAAACAAAACATGCTTTCTTGGGCATTTAAATTTAGTCAATCATTTTCTCACTTAATATCACTTTCCATCCTGTTAGTCTTTTGTAATTTCTCTTTATATAAGCCAGTTGCTTAATGACATCATCCTTCAGGAAGTGACAATATAATTTCAGGTGGTAAAACAACAGCATAAACATGATGGTTTAAGGCAATAGCTGGTTTATTTCACGCTTAAACATTTAATTTTGTTTTATATAATTACACTAATCACTAAAAAATCACGAATGACAGCAGCCAAATGTGACCTGTTCTGGCAAAATGAGTTGCGATGAGCACATTTTTAAAATGAGTTTTTTTTCACATTTTCGATTTTCACAACCTCTATTAAAAAACCATCAAAATGATGCATGATTTGTTGGAATCGACCGAAAAATGACTGAGCTACACCCATCTGAAGTCGATAGAGTCCGCAAAGTCAATTTTGAGAAAAATTGAGTTAAAGTTTTCTGAAGGTTTCAAAGCAAAATCAAATAGCAACATTGCATCTTTTCCTCCACTTATTTTCTTAATAATAATTAATTACTATATTAGTAATCACAATATAGATATTTTTTATTTTATCTTTGTTATTAATAATTAGAACAAAGATGCAAATAAACAATAGAACAAATATAAGAGAAAAAAAATAATTAAATAGTACATTACTTTTTTATCATCTACATCTAAACAGAAGCATTCAAGTACGAAAAACAAATAGGCTAATCAAATGTAAAAATAAATTGAGTGTATACACAACAAATGAACTGATTATTAAAACTACAGAAACAGTTAAATCAAGAGCAGTGAGTGATTCCCTCTTTTCTTTTATTGTTTGATTA